ATCCTTGAGGTAGGCAACATGCAATGCTCACGTGCGGGACTATGGATTTCAACAAGCTCCACATGCAAAGGACAATGATGCAGCCCCAAGTACTATGGAACCATCCTTCTCTTGGCACCTAATAGCGTCCTTGCTACTAGTAGCTTCTTGCTCCTAGTAGTGATGGCCTCCAACCTACTTGCGATGGCCTCCAACTAATAGCGTCCTAGGCTCTGCCTGAATCGTGTCGATAGGAAACAACCCCTCCTCTTTGCGGCTCCGGCCATCCACGTGCGCCGCACCGGGATTTCCTGCGTACGTAACTATGACCACTGGCTTTCCCTTCATAAAACCGCGATATCACGCCAATAAAGCACTCCGAACAAAGAATCGAGTAGGCCTGAGGCTTTGATCATTGAGCTGATTCTTTGATCGATGAGCACACCCGGCTCCGTCCGTGGACTTCTACATCTTGATTCCTTTGATTCGATGAAAAGGGAGGGCTTATATAATAGGTGTCGCACACCAAACTCTGATTTTCACTTTCAATACTATCAACATCTATATTAAAGGTAGTGAGGCGCAAGGAGCTACCTATAATTGTCTAATATATGGGGGAAGTCATTGCTCAATTGCTGGTGCACCCTGGTATTTGACATGGACACACACACACACAAAAAGGGACTCAGGCAGGGACGACAAGTACTGCTGCTACTGCTGCCTGGAGTGGTTGGAGGACTGGTTGCCCTTGCCTCTGTTGCCACTCTGTCAAACACGTGCTTGGCAGCGGTGCCGATTTATTTACATCATACCTTGGGGTACATTGTATATCGTATATATATATCGTATATTGTATTGCTATTGCTAGCTGCTAGACTAAACATGTTGAATTGTGTCGCAAGCTTGTTGACAATCACGACTCACCATCAACAAACCATGGGTCCACTGTTTGGAAAGCTGGCTGATTGGTAGGGCACTGCAAACAGCCAAGCATTGAAATATAGTAATGAGTAACCCGCCCCATAAAACCCACATGGGGGACTTATTAATCAACACTTTACATCAGTATCTTTGAGTTTTGTCCCTTTCTTGGACATGCAATTCAGAGTGGCAAGAATGCATGCACTTTCAGGCTGAAGCCAGGAGAATTGGGGTGCAGAAATGTACTTGAGTGCATCCCTACATTCCTGGTGCCCCATGATCTTCATTCATTTCGATCACCGACAATGCTCATATGTCAATGTAACTATGTAACGTTGATTCTGTAATTATATACTCTCATTTGTTGAAACTGAATAAACTGAAAAAAAAAACACAAACAGCATCCAAATGACGAAAAACGCGCAACTAAAGCACTTCAAAACCTTGTGCGACACACACAACGGTCGCTACCTCTTCCGAACCGGTCGCTCGCGGATCGCGCGATGACCACCGCGGAACCTCCGTCGAAGTCCAAGACCTGCGAGGTCGGCTCCGGAGGTGCGGTGGGTGGTTTTGGGGGGCACTGGGTTTGGGCGGGGTCTGTCCTTACCTTCTTGATTAGGGGATTAGGCTTTTTGGGGAGGCCGCTCGAGGTGGATGGGAACAGTGTTCTTTCTCCCATGGAAGGGTTGACCGATCCGATGATGAATGATGCCGCCAGGGTAGGGGAGGTTGGTCATCTATGAATTGTATACGTCACGTAGTAATTTGACAACCATGTCAGTCACCTTCTAGCAATCATGTCCAATCATGCCAATCACATCTGTAGGTATCAATCCAATCACATCTTCTATCAAACCTGCTTTCCCTCAAACCACCTCGCGGAATGGACGGTTGAGGGTTTTACTTTCCAAACTTTGAGAAATGCATTGCTGGTGTTCCTTAGCATGTGAATACACTTAAATACATGTGACAATCCTGGTCCTGTCGGCAAACCTGCCTCACAAGCATATTACAAACAGTTCACAGTATTTCACAGTATGATCACACAGACACATTACTCTACAACATCATCACACAAATGTCATATGTTTTGCGCACCAACAAAATGTGTGTGTGTGTTTTTGGTAGTGTAATGCCTACGGGCCTACACGCCGTCTATCGCCGTCTGCCCTCTGCCAAGATTTCACATCTTTGTCCATGCGAAAGAAGATTCGGGGCGAATCAAACGGTCATGGGTCGTCGAGAGGTCGTCCGATCCGTCCGAGTGTGGCGAATGGTTCAGGGCTCTGACGGCTTCCTCTGAAATAACATGTGAAAAGCCTGTGAAAACAGCATTGAAATAGAGTCGTCTGCAGGTTGGATCAATGACATGGATGAACATCTGTGGATAGGGTCTTCACCCACTGTGGATGTGTGGGCGTTTCTGGCGGAACCACTCCCCGGACCCAGCTAGATCCAGCTGAGCGCAGCCCGCCATGCATTCCTGGGATGCCAATTGTTTGGACTTCCATGGTTTGAACCATTCCCTACATGCCCCCCCAAAAAAACATATATAAGTCAGGAATCAACTGGGACAACCTTTCCCATTAGGGATCAAGAAACCACTCCCCGGCCATCTACCATGCTGATCCCAAAGCACTTATAAACCATCCTGCCCTTCGATTCCCCGGTTGGAATCGCCACGCCCAAATCCCAGTGAATCCAGGTACGGAACCAGGACGCGACGAGGTGGCTGGGCGACCCTGGCATCGCCCATCGGACGGAACAAGGACGCTACGAACGGAGCTTACATCGAACGGAAACCTGCATATTTCCGACTCAAATCCGCGAGTTCCACGCCTGCTTCGTGAGGAAATGTGGAGCTGAGTGGTGCCAATGCTGCCAATGGCCTTGGCGGTCAGGCCCACCCCAACGCCAAACACAATGAATTGAGAGAATGATTCATGCAGCAAGAGCCTTTCGTAGGAGCATGCATAGTACCTTCGGTGACCCTCGCACTGTAGCCAAGTCCGAGGTTCAAAGTTGGTTTAGATTACACCAGCATAGGTCCCAAACAGAATGTGTCTATTTGAAATCTCTGCAGCCGGGAACTTGTCATGACCCCATAAAAGCAAATCATTATGGACGTGTTGAGCAAGCATCCAAAGATGCCTAGCAGGTCTCGTCATCCTCATTTCTGCCAGTTCCCAGACCATGGTCTACCTCAAACTGCTCTCCGGATGTGAGTTGTGACATAGTTGTGAGTCCATTTCGCTGCAACATGTTACTAATAGGAATGGCCTCCAACCTCCTAGCGATGGCCTCCAACCTAGCGATGTCTTCATAAACATCTGGATAACTTTCTTCACTTAGATGGAACAAAACCTAGTTCTCCATATATATATATATATATATCTATAACCTATCAACATGCTCCATAACTCATTTCCACCTCATGTTGGGTCAGACTTCCTCGCATTCCGAACCATTCATCACCGACCCAAGGGGCTCCGGGATCGCTGCGTGCGCGCTCCGTCCGCGGGCGCCTAGGCACGACGGGGCAAGGTCTTTTGCCCCGACACGACCCGGCACGAGGCGACCATCCAATGGTCAAGAACCATCATATGTTAACATACCCTCAGACCCTAGTAGTTGAGGGTATATGTTAACATAATGTATTGGAAAGCCAAGTTATGTTTTGGGGGGAGGAAGACTTTACAAAGAAGGGATGGATTTTTGCAACACGTCGCGACTGGTTTTGGCCAACACGGTGAAACTGGTGTCAATGGCAAACAATTCCTCGTCCAAACGAAAGGAACACTGCACCGCCCGGTCATCTGTAATTAGCATGTGATTGATTTGCATGACTGCGTATGGAAGTATACTGCTGAAACATGTTACAAGTTACAACAAAGACCAGTGCCGCTGGACTAGGGCGCCCTATATCAAAAACATGTTCAACTTGCTGGCTCTTGCAAGCGGATCGGTTGAAAAGGAACCTTTTTGGGTCCTGCCAAGTGGTTCCTTTCCATGAAGTTCAAGCTTTGGGCTTTCGGCGTCTCGTCTCGCGCATTCCATCTCAGGACCAGTCGCTCGCGCATTCCATCTCAGTCGTCTCGGGCGTCGCGTTCTGCCGCCGGTTCGGCCGGATTCGTCCGCCGCCTTCGGGAGGAGCTGTGAAAGGCTGGCCCCGAAGAAGGCATCGTGCAACTCCTGGGTGCGACGCAACTCCGTGGTGCGACACAGTCGTTGAGGAGGGCGTTGTGCGTCCGGGAGAGAGAACGCATGAAACCGCTGAGATGTTCCGACACTGTCCACCTATAAAGAATCGCCCTTTTTGATGGAGTCTCGCCAAAACTGCCCCAAGACCAAAGCCGTGGGATCTTTCGGGTTGAGAGGGGGAATCAACCGAGCCCAGCTGTGTTTTACAGCCTCTTCTGCCCCTCCTCGTCGGCAGCTCCAGGATCACCTGCACCAAAGCCGTGAAGGGCATCGGAAGAGACCGGTAGACCAATGACCAATGGCTTCATCATCTCCAAGTCTTGTCTCGTGGGTGAAGTCTGCAACGCACATGTCATTCCCAAACGCTCCATGAAATTTGACCAACGTTCACATCATACACTATACCCAAATATCCAAATACAGGTTATATTTGCATATACTAGGAGCCCTTGGACAACGTTTTCTGTCATTCGGCGCATGTTAGGTCAAACTGATTCTGGTCATGGTCCCGTGTCGCAAATTCAGCGCTAAATGGGACGGCGGTCGGGAATGCGTTCAAAGACCTCTGGCTCTCATTCATCACGTTCAAGTATGTTCAAGTGGTTTCTCTTGCAAGTGTGGCAAGGAATTGAGGTTCCTAGAGCTTCAGAACAAAACTCTTTGTAGGCCCGTGGAACCACTGGTTGCCTATAATAATCATTAAATTCAAAAACATGCTGACTGGAATTAATGATTCAGCAAATCACCGAACATTTGCTTGACAGGGTGTCCTCTCCCAGCCGCACTGGGGCATGTCATGGATTCTCCATTAAAATATATGGACAAAAGAAATAAGTAAAGGATATCAGGTTCTTGCATTTATATTGTTGACCTTAGAATACAGGCCACACTCCATGCGCGACTTTCTTCGCTCGCTGATGTCTCATGCGTGTGATTCGTCGTGTCATTCAGCTCCGTCGCAGTCGTGAAAATCATCCACTGCCTGCCCGTTATCGCGCGATCAACGGGACAGAGGGCCCGTGGCTGGGTGTCGGGCTGTGCTCAAGTGACTGTGAAATACTTACTTTTAACCGTTAAACCAAGGATTTAGACAGTTTAAGAGTAGTTAGCTTTGTGACTTGGGTGTACCCCAGCTTACGAACTCAAACACTAACTGCCAAGCAGTGAACTTTGAATTTAAACTTGCAATTCCAACAAAATCAGTAAAGAGTTGAGATCCTGTTGTCAATGACTGGCTTCTTTTGGGCTTCTTTATGAAAAACACACCAACATCTTGAAGTCTGCCATCACCTGAGCCAAAGCTGACACCCCTCCACACCTCTGGACTTGGTAGGTGCCGCACCACTAGGAAGGCATAGCCTCAAGTTTGGTGTGCTTGAGCAACAACAGTTCCAACAACCAAGAAACTTCAGAACGAATGCGAACGGTGTGACGGGGCCTGTCGGGTCAGCCTGTCGTGATGCCTGTCGGTTTGATCGGTGTCGTGCACCCATCGCACATCTCAACTGTCACACAAGTCGTTCAACCGGAAAAAAACCTCCAACGTATAAAACTGAAAATAAAGTTTCGACGTTTCGGAACGCCTTTTTCCCTTGAGCCAAAAATACGTCATGAGTCTCGTGTCTGCAGTATCCTAGCGGAGTATGTATGGGCTGTACATGCAAACACTCCTCCTCTTGCAAAGCACTGTACTGCTGCGCAAGCTTAAAAGGAAACATGTGAAACTCTTCGCTGCTTAGCCACCTTCAGTTGTGGTAGTGGAGCTTGGCCAGGGACCTTACTCCAAAACATCCAACTGTCCTTTGCTTCGCTTGCTGAGGAATGCATATTGCAGGTCCTCCATGGTTTTGCGAAGCTGCACCCCAGGAACCGATTTGGTCAACACATCGGCTTTGTTCTTGACACCTGGAACGTGGTGCACTTTCAAGTGGCCTTCGGCGACCCTTTCTTGCAACCATAGGTAGCGAGTCTGGATGTGTCTGGCTTTACCCAAACCCACTCTGTTCACAGTTCCTTTGGCTGCGTTGGAATCGCCCTCGATGGTGACTCCTAAATCCAAACCAAGATCTGCACATAGGCTTTGAAGTCCTAAGCCTGCAGATCCGCCCTTCACGAGTGCGTAGTATTCGCTCTCGCCAGTGGAAAGGGCTATGGTGGATTGGATGTTGCTGCTGTGTTTCAACACGTGCATGCCGTACAAAGCAACCATGCCAGTCGTGCTTTTGCGCGTCACAGCGTCTCCACCATGGTCGGCATCGACCTGCACCCTCAGCTTCGAGGGTGTCTGTTGTGAGCCAAAACATTGCCCAACATCAGGGTATTTCTTCAAGTACCTGATGAGACGTTTCAAGTCTGCAAGTTTGGCTTCTGTTGGCGACACCATACCTCGAGCAAGGTTCTTGACTGCGTGTCCAATATCGAGTCGATCTTGGGACAGGTACGCAGCACGCATCGTTGCTGAACGATACTTCGATGCCTCGCTCTTATCAAGCAGCGGACTGCGGCTTTCCAGCATCTGCTGATCTGCCGACTTCTTGACATCTGGTGATTCTACACCATTTGCCTTCTCCAGGCCAAATGCCTGAATCAAAAGATCAACATGTCTCCGATCGGCTTCGATCACAATCGATCCTTTGCCATTCTTCTTTTCGACTCGGATCAACCGATTCAGAAAATGAGCTTCTGTTCGGTCTCCACCAAGAATTCCGAGACATTTCAGCTCATAGGCATCTTTGAGGACTTGGCTGAGCTTCTCCAAGTGTTGGGCGTCTCCAAGTGCTAGGAAGTCATCCCCATGCACCATCACTCTGACATCCCAAGCTTCTTGGTAGAAGACTGACGCATTTGACAGTCCTCTGCGGAAACCAGCCTTCTGCAGAGTCTCTGTGTAGTGCGTCTGCCAGATGTTTGGAGCGTCCTGTGTTCCATACATCGACTTCACGAGAAGTCCACAGGTTTGTCCATCTTTGCTGGCTTCGTCCTCAGGTGGCAGCTCTATGTAGATCTTTCTCTTTGGAGTTCCATAGAAGTGTGCTCGTGAGATGTCCCACAAGCCCAGCTTCAGCGGCTGGTTGTGGCAGGACTTTCTCTTTGTCGCCCACAACGAGCACAGCAGCCTCATCGCCTCCAATGGGGGCGTGCTGCTGAAAAGCAAGTTGGCTGGCAATTGTTCTTCTTTGGTCTTTCTTGCCTTTATCTCACGCACAACTAAACGGCTCCTATAGTTTGGGTTTGTTGGATCTCCCTTGTTGGTGTCCAACCATCTGACTGGAATCGGGGGCTTCCCCGTTTCCTCAAAACATTCGGCTCTCGGCCGGGGCACATAAACACCATGCTTTTCTTTCAAATAATCCATCTCAAGGCGTCTTGCCTCTTTTACTTTCTCGGCTGGCAAAATGCCGCCGTTCACATCATCCATGTAGACCTCTTCGAACTCTGGGTCCATCAGAGGCATCTCTGGAACTGGGCCTGCTGCAAACAGATCAAAGGTGTTCAACTCACCTTTCTCTGCTAGTGTGTCACGCAGGCTCCTCAGCACTGCTTTCACGAGCTGCGGTGGGTATACCGCTGCCTGCCTAGCAATGCCTCCGATCAGATGGATGTGTCGGTGCCATGGTCCTTTGCCCGATTCATTCGAGCAGACTCCTTGCAAGACTCGGGCCAACCCTTCATCGTTGGTCATCCAACCGGTCTCCTTTCTCACATAGCCGGTGCCTTGGAGTCCTCTTCGGTCAGTGGCCATCATTTGCCACCTACACATTGGACCTTTCACGACGAACACACCATCTTCTTTTGCTAAGGCCGCAACTTTGTCATCCTTCCAACTGGTTGCGGACCATGGTGCTTCATGGAGGAATTTTCTCCCTGAGCGATGCTGTTTGACATACAGCTCTACGCTCGTATGGAGATGGTGGACGGCTTCGTCCATTTTCCTCCTCCTGACATCCGGTGCCATGTTTCTCCAGTTCAGATTCTGGAGCTGCGAAAACATATGGCACGGAGGCGAACCAGTTAGGAGAGCAGGTTCGTCCCTCTCTAGGATGTCGTGCACCTCTTGAACATCCTCTGACTTGTTCAAGTCCCAGTATGTTCCATCACTTTTCATTTCGTTCAAGTCGACCGCGAAGCCCGGTCGCAACTTGTACCGCTCTGCAAGAGCGGTGAACCTTTTGATATCTACTGCTGACATCTGCATGCTCAAATGCGCGATGTCTCCGATCTCTTGCTCAGTGATCTCGATGCCATTCGCCTCATAGGTTCCTTGAATGATCTTCTTCAAACGCTGCTTTGCGATCTCCTTCTCTTTTACCAAGCTTGCTGCATCTGGCTTCCACCCTGCTGGTGGTGTTTCTGGAACATACGAAAACGTCTCAGTTTTCTTTGGACTCTCTTCCACCCTGGGATCAAGGTCTTCTACGGCAGTCTCTGCCGTCCTCTTTGTTCCTTGGGCTGGATTCGGCTTGACCTTTGCCCCAGGTGGATCTATCCTAAGTTCTCCTGTTCTCTTCTTGGGCTCTGTTGCTACCTTGGCTTTCGCCACTGGTTTCTTCTCTATCTCGGCTGCTTGCCTCTTCATCTCATATCTCTCTTTCGGGTCATCGGGATAGGTTTTCTCACCCTCTGCCGCTGTTGGCGGCGGACTTCCCGACCCTGCGCTCTTCGCTTCTTCTTTCTTCTTCTCTGGTTCTCCGGCCGCGTCTTCGGCCGTGATGTCTGTGTCCTTATCGGCCACGACTTTCGGCTTCACAGTGTCAAGCTGTTGCCGTTCTTTCCTCTTCTTCGCATGGGCTTCAAGCCTCGCTTGCCCAGCTTCATCCTTCTCCATTGCTTCTGTGATCCTTGCTCTGCACGCCTCTGTGTGCGGCAAGGTCGTTCTCTTGTCTTCCAAGATGCACCTGCATCCTGGGCAGCCTTCTGTGGCTCCATGCTTGTGCACATCCTCTCTCCTAATGTACACTCGCCTCTGCTGTGGTGGTGCCACTCGTTCCTCCTTGGGAGGTGGTACCGCAAGTCGTTCTTCGAGCATCAACTGCTCACCGGCCGGCCTTGCCGCGGAGTGCTCCCACGGTAAGCCCCGCAAAAGGTCCCAATCACTTGGGTCCCAGCGGTCGGCTGAACTCAGCCGCCGGATTCCTGTGCCTCTTCGCACGCCATCGGCCGTCATCACCAAAATGGATCCTGTTCGGCCGTGGTGACCTACATAGCGTCCTTCTTTCAGGATGCGAACTCCCTCGCCTACTTCTCTAAAGTACAGGCGCTCACCAAAAGCTATGGCGGGCTTCCGCCATTGCTTGACCTTTCTTGTACCTGCTCAACAGGTCTCCTGCCTGCCTTGGCAGCCATGCCAATGCAGGATCATCATCGAGCTCTTTGCCGAGCTTCTCTTCCAACGCGCTGCGGAGGACTCGTACTTGACGTTTGATCTCCTTGCAGGCGTTCTCTGCCAGACCATTCGCTTGATGGTCTCCTACTGGCGACTCTTCCGAAACCCAGTCTATGCCGGTTTCTTTCGCCGCTGCCTCTTTCAAGGCTACCACGGATGGCTCACCATCCGATTTGAGAACCACCTTGCGGTGTCCCAAGTTCTTCAAGAAGTTCGCCACGAACTTCACTGCATACGGCGTCGCTCCCTTCGAGTCCACGAAGGTCGCCGCTAAGGACTGTGTCCTCTCATCTTTCACTACGAGGATCGGCTTCACCCGCTCGTCCTCCACGCCGCCCCGTGACATGAACGTGTAGTCCATTGCCACTGTGGGCATAAGGCTCTTTGCCTTCTGTTCATCGGATCTCGTCCGATGTGGCTGTCCCGCAAGCCGTCCAGCAATGCAATGCCGGCACCAACTTCGATACTGCACATGGCCTGTCGCCTCGTGCTCTTCAATCTCAGCCGGAGTTGGGTCCTCCGGTGCTCTTATCTGGATGGGTTTCTCAACCTCATCAACTAATTCCAACTCATCATCCTCTTCTCGCCCCTCTGGACCAGGTCGGCCTGAGTCCATAGAGGCATCTCCTCTTTCTCCTGCGGCGTTCAACTCTGCGATGCCACAGCATTCCTTTGTCGGTTTATACCCTGGCTTTCTCAAGTAGAAATTGTACACTCCCTGCTCTTGATACACAGGGATCCAACTCCGCTGCTCTGCAGCGCTTGCTTTCTCCAGGATCGCCTGAACAGCCTTTCCAACTTTGGACCTTTGCGGAATCAAAGTTCCGCCATTCACATCAAGAACTGCAATCCTTCCAAAGCCTAAGCATTTGGATGCTCGGCCATTGAACCTTTCACACGGCATTTGTTGCCGCTCTCGTCGAACCCTTCAAAGGTTCCAATGCCCTGACTGGGCACTAACTCTCCTGATGCAGTCTTGAAAACAACACCGTTGCCCTCACTGACAACCACTCGGTCCTCCCAGCCATTCGGGATGGCTGTCTGGGCTGCTCCAGTGTCCAGGTTAAACTTCATCCATTCTTCGGCGGATGAAGCATCCGCTATTCCAACTCCACTCAAGTCTGCCATGAGCATTCCGACATCTGCTTCCGGAGCTGGCTCAATGCCATCATCCGGTTCGTCCATCTCTTCCATACTTCCTGCGGCTTTACCTTTGCCGCCTTTTCCACCTTTGCCTTTACTGCCTTTGCCACCTTTGCCACTCTTATCTACTTTGCCTGAACCTGACCATTTATCGCCTTTTCCATCCGGCCGTTTCTTGCTCCAGCAATCGGCCGCTCGGTGTCCTTTCTTACCGCAATTGTAGCAGGTGATATCTTGAGCCGTACTTGAGCCTTTACTTGAGCCTTCTTTGTTTGAGCCTTTCTTTCTATCTCCTTTGACCTGTTTACCTTTTCCTTTACCTTTTCCTTTGACCAGGCTTGCAATCCACTGTCCGATCGAATCGACATCCATTGGTTGTGGTCCTTGATAGCTAGAGCTTGATGAACCTGGTTTTGGAACAGATGATTTCGATGTAAGAGATGATTCGATGACAAGTTCAATTTCCTGTTTGATCAACGAATAGGTTGTCAATCTACTCTTGTTCAACAAAAGATGTTTCTCCAAATCTGGGGGTACCAGCATCTCCAATGAAGCGGACTTGATGTCGTCCGATAAAGTTTCCCTTATTCCTGCGGCACTCCTCCGGGACTCGTACCGCCTGATAACCTCTTCGAGCTGTTCGATCGCCGGCCTCACCGCGGCCCACGTCTTGACTCGTTCAGGTTGGAGAATTGCTCGAAGGATATTGCGTTTTCGTCCCGAGGTTCGGGGATCCCAACGGCGATGAACTCGCCGATACGCTTCAAATCCATTTGAAGCTCCTACCATCAAATCTTCTGTTTCACCTGAGGTCAGGGTCAGGAGGACGCGATGGATTTGATCCGCCTTATCCTCAAGATCTTCAATGGCTGCTATGGTGCCAGCCCCAAACGCGGATTCCACAGCACTCATTTCAATCGCGTCTTCCTGTTCCAAAATGTACTCTAGGATTTCAATGAACTCTCTCCCAAAGGTAGTTATGA